CGTTGTTCGCGCTGGATCTGCACATGTGAGTTTTTTTTTTAGGTGTATGAGTGGTCTCACCGATTTGCGTTCATTTTCATACTTCCTCTCTCATTCAGGTTCGTATCTAACGATCAAGCTATTAAAGAGAAAGCCTGTATACATGTATCGTCAAACTCGCAGACTTACCGTCGGCGTCGTCAGCGTCAACCGGAACGATGCAACAAGAAATATCACGTGATGACGTCACCATATGATGTGACAAGTGCTAAAATCCGTGAAATCATAATCAGAGGCCGCATTTATAGGCACTAGAAATCGGGTTTATGGCGCCAAAAACAGGCAGGCAAAACATGGTTTTAGGCCCCCGAAATCGCAAATATACGAACAATAATTTTTTTTACAAAAATTCGATTGATTTGATTGATTGATATGTGCGGTTTAACGTCCCAAAACCACCATTTGATTATGAAAGACGCCGTAGTGGAGGGCTCCGGAAATTTCGACCACCTGGGGTTTTTAACGTGCACCCAAATCTGAGTACACGGGCCTACAACATTTCCGCCTCCATTTTTTACAAAAATTCAAACTTTCAACGCAATACGTGCGGTGGCTGTGTGCACGGCGGGAAAGCAAGCATAACTGTTTTAGTTTGTGATAGTACAAAGGCGCCTACATGGTTCAGCATAGCCTTGCAATTTTTTCTCCCCGCACGGTTTGCAGAGCGCAGTCTCTACTTTTATTGTCCAGCGCGGTGAGTTGAGTGTCCACCATCTAATCAAACACCCTCCTGGTTCTCTTTTCGACATGGCTGAGGAAGCCAGCACAGAAGCAAATAGCTAGACCGCTGATAAGGCCAGAAGGGTTCTTTTAGCCTCGTATTCATCGGGTCGAATCGCACATGGTCAATTTCTCCTCCGTCTCTGAACACCTTGACGGGACCCCTCACCAGGATGGAGCGTTCGCAGCAGGTGAGAGAAATGCATGCACTGGGCACTCGCGATCTGGTCTGCCAAGAGAGAATAAAATGAGGGAAAGGCAGGGAGCCAAATTTGCAACGCTATAGGCGCCCCGGAAAGTAGTGAGACGTCAGACTGCACGCTGTGTGCCCTTCATTTCACGAGCGTGTGCCCCGACGTGGTGGAGACGTTGTATACAACGAGGAATCGTCCTGCGTACTTCTAAGTACTACCTGACACTGCGAGAATTATTCCAGGCAATACATGCAATTTGCGCAGTCTGTCACTTGAATAAAGTATAAAGGCTGACAGAAATATTAAAACACGCAAACAGAATCTGAGCACGTTATTTTTTTTTCTTTTAACGTCGTATCGAGCGAGATACGCCCCCGCTTAGTCTGTGTTTGTGTTCCAGTCATTATCGCATCGTGAAGGTGCCATTCCTGACAATGGTCGGCGTGTTTTTTGGTGCACCGCTGCCTTAAGAGCAGTTCCAGCGGTGCAACGCTGTGTATCGCTGTAGGGATACGTGGGGTGTGTTCCAATACTCGCCGCAGAAGGCTAAACAGAGAGTTAACTAAATGGCGGCCATATTAGGTCCTTTTGCAATTTTCACGTAGCCGGCAAAATAGAGAGCCTCGGGATGACGACATCTGAGACGAAAAACGATGCAGGCTACTTCACTGTCCAAACAATATGGCCGCTCAGCGAAGTTCTCGGAAAGCTTGGACCTCGGTGGTATGCGCATGGTACGGTCGTCTGCGCACAAACAGGCGCTTGCTTTTCTATGCTCTCATTGTGAGCTATGTTAAATTTTTCGTAGATTCGATCGCGAAAGAAGAAATAACGAAGTCAGTCTGTTTTATTTACCGTTCTCTTCTCCACACTAGGCGGCGTAACGTCTCGTAGATATCCTGTATACATACGTACAATCATTCGGACAACGTGGCATCGATGCTGTCTTCTAAGGTGTCAGCATAGACTGTCTATGATGCTGTCCATAATAGACGATTTTCAAAAATGTAAAGCCAGCTTTTCAGCTATGCAGTTTCAACAAGTAATAACGGCTTGTCCTTTAGTGCAAGTAGTCTGTTCAACCGCAGTTTGCTTACACGATCACGTGGGCAACGTTGACTCGATCACCTCTCTCGATACAACGCAGATAGCAGAGAAGCCCCCGTACATTGAGCTAGAACCGCGTGCCCGCTTGAAGCATAACAGGTGCCGCCATCTCTTTTTCAAACCTGCAGTGCAAGGAAGCTTGGGCACTCGCGTATTATGAAAATGGTTTATTTGGAACACACCCATGATCCATGCCAGCCAATCATACGTGTACTTGTAGAGAGATCAGCCCCACAGAAACAGGCAGGACAATACAGGTAAAACGGTGCAGTGGAGCACAAAACGAAAACCACGTGCACATGATATTTTTTTTTTTTTGAACTATATGTATACACTCTATACTTTCGCCTGATGAGACTCCATGGTTTCACATTCGTTCTTCGTCGTCCTGTGGCTGCACAGAAGCACCTCCTGTTCCATACGCGCGCGAGCGGATTCCGGAGAGATGCCGAGAAGACGACGCAACGGGTATGAATACTCGCGTCCAAAATAGGCATTAGTGGGCACAATAAAAAATACTGCAGCCCCGCCGTGGTCGTCTAGTCGCTAAGGTACTCGGCTGCTGACCCGCACGTTGCGGGATCGAATCCCGGATGCGCGCGGCTGCATTCCCGACGGAGGCGGAAAGGTTGTAGGCCCGTGTGCTCAGATTTGTGTGCACGTTAAAGAACCCCAGGTGGTCAAAATTATCGGAGCCCTCCACTATGGCGTCACACATAATCATATGGTGGTTTCTGGAAGTTAAACCCCACATATCAATAAATCAATCAATCAATCAATCAATCAATCAATCAATCAAACAAATAATCAATGAATCAACCACTGTGGGCCCATCACGGAGGCCATGCAAAACACCATAAGGTGTCGAAACCTTCCAATGCCTCCGATCTCCGAGGCCGTGCAAAACCAGGTTCTGTGCGGAAAGGTTTCGGAGCGAAAGAGATATGAATCAATGCGTCGGCTGAAGAAAAAGAAGACTTCTTTCGCCTGCGAGTCGTGTAAGGCTGTTGCAAGGGAGGCCACGCGATCATTTTTAGCAACAAAAAAAAACAAAAGAAATTGAAAGACCAGGCATAACACAACGGTAAAATGTAAGAACTATGTACAGCATAGGCTGCAGCATCGTCATAACTCAGGACTTACGTTGAAGTACGTGCGTGTTATATATATTCGAACGGAGCTAAATGACAAGACAATATAATGCATAAATATTATTTCAAGAGATCTTATGGTTGGCGGAAAACTTTCTTCTATGTATGTAATCTAACATTCAGACTGTACACTGTATTCGCCTTAATCAACGCTCCATTTCTCAGTCGGGCTGCTCCGCAAGCGGGATGAATGCGTTCGCATAATCCCCATCACCGGAACCGTACTAGTGGAATGGTTCAATGTCCAATAAACAATAGATCAACGAAACAGCCGAGCTAACCTGCTAACCACCCAAACAATCAGCTGTATGTCTAAACACCTGCTGCTAAAGAGCTAAGTAACTGTCTGTCTGGTTTTCAACTAAATATCCTGATACATATCTAGTTAACCACGTAAACACGAAAATCTTGCTAGCTAACCTATGTATATGTCTATCAAACTAACCAACTGGCTGGCTAATTAGCTAACATATTAAAATCACCAACAGGACAGCGAGCTTTACTAATACCTTGCAAGCTTAAAAAACGTAACCAACGAGTTGACTGCAAGATTAACCAACTAGCCGACTACGTGGTTAATTGGTCAATCACCAACAGAACAGCCAATTCTACAACTGCCTTGCTAGATAACTAGCCAAACGAACGAGACAATTGACTATGAAACTAACCAAGTGCAGCTAGCTAAGTGGTAACTCGCGAATCCCGTAAACAGCCAGGTTTACCATTCGGATACTAACCCACAAACAGAACAAAAGAAAACAGAGGACTGAATGACTTGCCAACTTACTAGCCAACAAACGAACAGTCTTCATGTAGCATAGTTTTCAAAGCCTCGGCTTCGTCGCTAATGTCTCCTATTTGTCCCGCTCACGTCTTCGCGAGCCAAGGCACGATGAACTAGATAGTCAATTACACAATTCCTTCGCTACAAAAACAATACTTCTACAATAACTAACCTAACCAACCAATTAACCTAGTACACTCACCAACTAGCTCACAAAGCGGGATAACTTACAAATGACCAACTATATAGGCAGTCGTACAATTATCTCGCTAACCAACGAACAATCTAAGTGACTAGCTAACCAACCAATTAACCTAGTAAACACACCAACTAGCTCACAAAGCGGGATAACTTACAAATGACCAACTATATAGCCAGCTGTACAATTATCTCGCTAACCAACGAACAATCTAAGTGACTAGCCGAATGGCTTACCAAGTAAACAAACAGCCTTCGTTTAGGATAGCTTCTATAGCGCTGCACTGCGGCCGCCGCGGTCAACACCTCTTCGGCATTTCTAAAAGGGATGATCTCGCATCCTCCTTAATCTCGGAGAGTGCGAAGAAGAAGAAGAGGCGATCGCGCGCGCCTTTTTCGCCACACGCGAGCTTTTAGATTTTTTGTTTTATCGTGCTGGTTTCGTTCGTTTCTCCTTCTTTCTGTTCGCTCCACTCACCTCTCCACCAGTTCGCGCCAGCGCCGCGCGCAGCGCCTCGAGACGGCAAGGACGGCAAGCTGCAGAGGCCGGCCGGCTCGCAGCATCACCACCACCTCGCGCTCCACGGCGCCGCACACAACATCCGGGCGCTGCCGACGACTCGAACGCCGACGCCGGGAGGAGTTCGCGCGACGCCGCCGATACGGCAGCTGCGCCTCCGAAAGAAAACGCCGTCTACTAGGAGGACCTCCGGGCGCTCTCCTCCGCCAGTGTCAGTGCGTGCGTGTGTCGTACGTTAACTCACGTCGAGGAAGTTCACAACGTCTTCGACGTAGTGTTTGAGTGAGCGAAGTGGTCGCGGACGGAGTGACGGGACCACCGGCTGTCTTGGGCATAGAAGACACACAAGAAGCCCGGGAAGGTTGTTTTTGTTCTTTGAGTTAGCGCGCGACGCCGGTGATCGGCGGCGCCATGTTGGCCGGGAGCTGGAACGGATCGATGCCCGGAGACCGGCAGTCGACGGCGCAGCAGCCCGGATCGCTTCGGAGCGCGCGCCGACGCCGGGCGTGGTTTAACGTTGACGTCGGAGACGTCGAACGCCGCTGACCGATAAAAAAAAGTCTCCTCCGCGGCTCTCTGCTCTTTTTCTCTCGGCCTGTTGTGCAAACGGGATTAAAAGGAAGAAACCAAGAGATAGAATGAATGAAACACTACTGTGCCGCGCAGCCGCCAACGGCTCGGCAAGTCCGCGGGCCCTGGCGGCCCTGGTACCGCCAAACTGCAGCGCCCCGGCCACGGCGGCCGAAGAACCGTTCTTCACCAGCCACCCCGAGTTCGTTGTCGAGTTCTCCAAACTCCTCTACGGTCTGGTCTGCCTCGTCGGCCTGTGCGGCAACTCGCTGGTGATCTATGTGGTGCTACGCTTCTCCAAGATGCAGACGGTCACCAACATGTACATCTTCAACCTGGCCCTGGCCGACGAGATGTTCCTGGTGGGCCTGCCCTTCTTCATAGCCACCATGGTGTTCAAGTACTGGCCGTTCGGCGCTGCCATGTGCAAGGTGTACATGACGACCACGTCCATAAACCAGTTCACCTCGAGTCTACTGCTCACCGTGATGTCGGCCGACCGGTACGTCGCGGTGTGCCACCCCATATCCTCGCCCCGGTATCGGACTCCCTTCATCGCCAAGTTCGTCTGCCTCACGGCGTGGACGGTGTCCGCTCTCCTGATGGTGCCGGTGTACATGTACGCCAGCGTGGTGGACGCCGGTCCCGTCAAGTCCTGCACCATCGTGTGGCCCGAGTCGGTCGTCATGAACGGCCAGGCGGCGTTCACCCTCTACTCCTTCACCCTGGGCTTCGCCATACCGCTACTCCTGATCCTCCTGTTCTACGTGCTCGTCATACTGAGGCTGAGCCGCGTCGGGCCCCGCTCGCGGCACCGCGCCAAGCACCGCCGGGTCACCTACCTCGTGCTCACCGTCATCACCGTCTACGTCATCTGCTGGCTGCCCTACTGGGCGGGACAGCTGTACATCAGCTGCCTGGGCGCGGCGCAGGCGACCGCGTTCACGGTGACCATATTCCTGCTCAGCCAGTTGCTGTCGTACGCCAATTCGGCCGTCAATCCCATACTGTACGCCTTCCTCAGCGACAACTTCAAGAAGTCCTTCGCCAAGGCGTTCACCTGCGCCGCGGTCGCGGGCGCCCGCGGTTCCGGACGCGGCAGGGAGCAGCCGCAAGAGGACAGCCTCTTTCCGCGGTCCTCGGCGGCCCCTGGTGGCGGCGGCGGAAACACTCAGGCCACGGTCAGCAAGGTGAGTCCGCCAAGTCGGTTCTCTTCGGGGCATCGGGGACATCGGGGATCGAGAACATCCCGTCTGCCAGACACTTACCTCGCCATACAGTGGACATGCGGGATGGTGAACATCTTGTTCATCAGTCAGTTTATTTCGATGTACAGTGAACATCAGGGATCATGAATAGCCTGTCCGCCAGTCACTTATATTGGCATTGTGGACATACGGGGATATTCGGGAGTGAATATTCGGGTTCGTTAACTTCGACCACCACGCAAGCAGGTGCCACAAAGATTTCATTGTTATAGCCAGCAGTTGCTACAAACAGTTTGCACGAAAAAAAAAATCCTAAATAGGAGATAGCAGGATGTTTTGAGAAAATTATATAATATCGGATGGGATATGCCAATACACACCAGTGACAAGGATAACAATGATGCCGATTTTTAGGACGTGATTGAAAATTCCGACGCTTTCATAGGAGCCCCACAAGGCCCATACGGCCTGTGAATCACGTCTGAGGTATCGGACGCCTAAACTCTTCTAAGACCCAACTGCTCATTCAAACAGCACGCCTGGAAGTGTATTAACGGCAGCCACCACCACTACCGCGCTGTAGCGGATTTCAAAAGTGGGCATTGCCGCACTGCCACAACACTAGGCTGCGATGTATTATGGGCGTCGAATGAAACCAGAACAGCGGCAAACCTTCATGATGGTATATAGTGCACGCCATCAATTTACCACCATGGACAGGCACGCATATATACGCAAAGCTGCCGAACAGGATGTGATCGCCTATCAATGGTGATAACCGGAACGACACGTACTATACCATCGCGAAGACTGTTCGTGTTTCATTTGACGCAGATAGTACACACTGCGGATTCGAAGGGAAACTGGGGAACGTATGGGTTGCGGGTGGGCGTTCATCGGTTGCATTTCCGGTTTTCGTCTTCTTTTTTCCCGAGAACTTCACCTTTCATCGCCTTTCGACACGGACACCCAACAGCCAAAATCCATCGTTATCGCCGATAACGTGACATGCGGGCATATTGCAGTAAGCGGGTTATTTCAACATAGAAAGCATAAAAAAAGGTGACGGTGAAGCAGCGTCTCATCGTTATAACCGATATATTGTTCAGGTATCATTATAAGTTGGTTCGACTCAACTTTGTTTAGGTTATTTCCAATAAACGCGTTGATACCCATGTTGGCGGCATATGCGAGTAGAAGCCGCCCCTAAAGTAGGCAAAGCTCGCATGTCCATAGTATAGAGAGGGCAGCTCAGAGCAGAACACACACAGTGCGGTGATTAGACACAAGATCAATACATTGATTGATTTGTGGGGTTTAACGTCCCAAAACCACTATATGATTATGAGAGACGCCGTAATGGAGGGGCTCCAGAAATTTCGACCACCTGGGGTTCTTTAACGTGCACTCAAATCTGAGCACACAAGACTACAACATTTGCGCCTCCATCGGAAATGCAGCCGCCACAGCCGGGATTCGATCCCGCGACCTGCAGGTCAGCAGCCGAACACCTTGGCCACCAGACCACTGCGGTGGGGCCAAGATCAATACAGTTTTACAATGACAAGTAGCGATAAACAGTACTCAATGCGGTAAAAAAATGCTATGACACTACATGAGGCAACTATGGTCGCTACATAGACATAGAAAAAAAAGGCGCCATTTCAGTCTACACAACATTGCGTCATAAAAAATACCATATGTTTTTAATAGAAGCGAAGATGTGACTATATTTTCTTGCACTATTTCAAACTTACTCGAGTTTGGCAACGTATAACCAAGGATTCGAAATCCACAAATCGTGTGCTCGTGCGGAACACAACAGTTTTTCGCAGCATCGAGTCGGGTGAATTTGCGGGATTTCAGGGTGAGTTTGCCATGTCTCCAACCACAATACTGTGTCCGTTTTACTTGAATTCAGTAGTGTTTAAGAATAGGAAAGGTTCTGTTTCTTTTTTTCCCCCCATACTTCCATGATATGGCATTTTGATAAAGTGAACGAACGCGTTATATGAAAGGTAGACAGATTCAGCTTCGGTAGCGTAATCGGAACGAGGCTGCGGCGTTGTCGTTTTACAGCGGAAGCTGTTACGAGATCACAACTCAAGTCACGCGTGGCGCCGTAGTTTTCCGCCACCGCCACCGGTGTCCGTAACCACATCGCACGAAAAAAAAAAAAAAAAAAAACTTAGTGCCAATGACACAGTGGGGCTCCAACCCGGGTCCGCTGGGTGGCAGCCCAGTATTATACCAGTGAGACACGCCGGCAAACTTGCTTTAGGCAGGCTTGATGTCCGAAAGCAATCGCGTTAATACGACTCATAAAGCGTTTTTTTTTTTTTAAACAGCGGAAGAACAACCAGTCGACGCACAATGTGAATAGAGCAACGAGTGGGTCGTCCAATGCTCCAACTCATTACAAAAGCTCGTTCTTATTCAGTATTACCGGTGGTACATACCCACTTCAGCCATATATAATTGCTCATCGTCGTCAGCCACTGCATGAACAATTGACACGAAATTCCTTGCAAGTGTTTAGCGTATACCACGCTTCTCAGATGAACGACAAAAAAAATAGCATAGCGAACGCCGGCCTAGTGTGCTTGTGGGTATCAAGCAAGTGTGCTTGTAGCACTTACCCAATGAGTGTTTAGAAAAGGCTCTGAAAGGCCGCTCTTCTAGCTTTCGCTGTGACTGTGCTGCGCAAGTTCCGCGCAGGCCTTTCGTTTTCTTTATTTTTACGTACGGCAACTTACGCGCAAGAGGACTTTGTATTTCTCGTAGCCCAGTGACGAGGGCATGGGGGTGAAGGCACGGGACTATACCCCCCCCCCCCCCCCCGAAATGATTTAGACGTAGCCAGGGGCGGGGGGGGGGGGGGGTGGCGTTCCTTCTGATGTTTCGGTGGCGGTGTGCACGGCTCTCTGATTTTCTTTTTTTTTTTTCGGCACGACACACAGAGCGAAAAAGAACCATTTTGAAGACATCACGCCCCCCCCCCCTTTTTCCTCCTCCCCCGAAAAAAAAATTCTGCCTACACTCCTGCCGTAGCCAAAGGGCACAGGAAGTGAACGTTCTACGCAGAAGGCTAGATTAATTTCGCCGTCTAGCCCCTGGCGCGGCTACTCCTGCGATCACACTTGCACTGGGGAGAAGGCAGCCTCACGCGTTGATCGCAGCGTATAGCAAGTCGCTCCAAGGCGATTCAGTTCCACTATCATGTTTCGTGTACTTACGAATGGTAATGCATGACCCAGCGTAAGAACTTGTTCGATCGACTAAATGGGTCTAGAGATGCTAAAATTAAAAGCGGGACATGCAATTAAGAAGGAATGTTTTTTTGAGGTAGACTGCAGGCATTTCGTGCCCCCCTCTCCCCATTTTTTTTCGCTTTCGTATTTAGGTTACTCAAAACTGAAAGTTCACTGGCCGAACCAACCATCGCCCCCACGCTGATTCAGAATGACTTATGCATCAACATGCGTCGTAGCCTGCAGCTGGTCAACGAATTATCATGCTTATTCGCCGTTCGTCTCTATTGGCGTGTGTTTTTTCAATGCCCAGCAGGTCGCTGCCCGAATGCTGAAAAACTATGCAACTACGCGCGCTCAGAGGAGAATGCTCGATTGCAACCGCGGGAGTAGCTGGGGAAAGGGTAGAAGTTAAACCCTCCCCCAAATTTCTCAATCTTGCTTGCTCATGTATGCACACACACAAACAAATACACGAACAAACATACATCAAGTACGGCTGAATCCCCCCCCCCCCCATCGAAGAAAAAAAAAACACTTGCTGCGCCTTTGATTAAGAACTGATAACGAATCTGAGCTCCTCCCGCCTAAAATTGGCACGAGTATGTTCTTCAGAACTAATGTTCGACAATTCGGAGGTATACTCCACTGTGGGAGAGCATAAGAAGTCCGAGTTACGAATGAAGCCCCGCGGATACGTGTGCAATGACACAGTGAGTGTTGAGAGTACGTTGTAATCGCTTTAGAGCGCCATAAGCACTCGCTTATGGGAGAGCTGTCCCAGTGGAACGGTGACGTGTTAAGAACAAGTGTTCAACGATTTAGAGTACCATTTACTCTACTATATGGGATACATTTAAGGCTGTCTCTAACTAGATAACTTCGCACATGTGCTTAGAAAAAGTAGGTAACAATTTAGCGTGCTAGCTACGCTGCTATGGTAGAGCGTAATGCCGTCCTATGGGTCACACTTGTTGAGGCCCTATTGTCTAAAATAACACCGTATACCAACACGCCCACAAAAATGTTTAGAGTTATAGTTAACGATTATGGGTGTGTTCTAATACACACCGTAGACGGCTAAATAGACAGCTAAATAGACGGCGGCCGTCTTAAATCATATTCTAATTCTCACGTAGCCGGTAAAATAGACAGCTTCGAGAAGACGGCATCGTAGCCAAATGCGATGCAGGCTAATTTGATGTCTAAACAAGATGGCGGCTCAGCGAATCGCTCAGATAGATCGGATCTCGCCGGAATAGTCGACTGCACACAAGCAGACGCTTCCCTAGACGCTCAATGCGAATAACGTTTATTTGTTTTTTTTATTTAAACACGAAATAAGCCAAACAATACAACCGTTACGTTTGTTTATTTTAACTGTCTCTTCTCGACGCGAGGTGGCGCATTGTCGCGTAAAAGCCGTCCAGACGCGTTCCAATTTTCGGACAGAATGGTCTCGGTGCTGTCCTCTAAGCAGTCTACGTATACTGTCTACGTGCTGTCTAAGAATTGGAACACAGCCTTAGAGTACTGGGTACTCAGCTATGGAAGAGCATAAAGCCGTCCCGTGGGGCCTAGGGCGATCGCTGCAGCGATAAACTCACACCAAACTTTAGCACATTTCGGAACGCCCAACCATCATGGAATCGGATGGTTGATCGCACTGTTGTCTTAGATAACGCCGAACCAACACGCAGAAGCCCACAAAAGTGTTTAGAATAATACCGC